ATATTATTCCTTAGTTTAAATGTACTGGGCCAGAGAGACGGCCAGTAGTTAAGAGCACTTAATGCTCTTCTAGAGGATGTGGGTTCAACTTCTAGAATCCACAAGGCAGCTCCCAAGCATCTATAAATTCAGTTCCAAGAGATACAAGGCCTCTTACCACCTCCACCGGCACTGCACATACACACACTCAGGCACACACGCATAAACCTAAGATTTAAAATAAAGAGAAAAAAGAAAAGAAAAATGTACTGAGGGTTATGGAAGTAGCTGAAACATCTGGCACGCAAGGATGAGGGCCTGAGTTTGATTCCTAGAAGCCATGGAAAAGCTGGTCGAGGAGGCATGAATGTGTAACCCCAGAGCTGGAGGAGTGGAGACAAGTAGATTCCTGGAGATCATTGACCATCCAACCTAGTCAAAATGGTGATGTTCACGTTCAGTGGGAGACTCAACAAATAAGGTGGGGAGTGATTAAAGAAGACAGGCAGAGCCACCCAGTGGTAGTACACCTTTAATCTCAGCACTCATGAGGTTCAGGCAGGAGGACCTCTCTGAGTTCGAGTCCAGCCCTGGGGTACAGAGTGAGTTCTAGGACAGTCAGGGCTACACAGAGAAACTCTGTCTCAAAAAACCAAAACAAACAAAAAAAGAAGATGCCCAGTGCTGACCTTTGGTTCCACAGGTGTACCAGCAGACACATGCACACCACCACACACAAGCATACATACTTAGAACATACATACACACAGAGACAAATTAAGTAACAACGTACAGGTGGGTCTCTTGATCTCCCACTGTTGTCTGAGAGAACCTTACCTAGTCCATATTCTATGGAGTCAGGATGGTCCTCATCACCTTCTTGGCTGACCTTCTGGAGATGTTGCAGATAGCCATCAGTGTGGAAGGAGGCCATCTCCTCCATGGAGGCCACTTTAGGCTTCACAATCCTAATAACAGAGCGAACATAGAGAAATGAGTCAGACCCAGAGGATGTAAGGTTCTGTAAAGAGCAGCCAACACTCTGAACAGAAAAGACAACTCCCAGCTTCTGGTTCCAGTGAACTGAAGTCATAAACACACTGTCTCTCCATTGTACTGTTCAGTCTTCACTTCCTCCATCTATGATATTGACCCCAAAATAAGAAGCAAGGGGACAGAGTTTTTCCTTTGAGTTTTTAGGTAGGGGAACATAACTGAAAAATTATATTTAACTCAAGCAGATAATCATGGATCAAGGTCCCTGGTTTAGCCACATAGAACTCATTAACCCAGGGCCAGCAGGATGGCTCAGTGGGTAAAGGCACCTGCCATTAATCCTGTCAACCCGAGTTCAATCCCTGGGACCTATAATGTGGAGAGGAGAAGTGCCTGCCCTGGCAAGTTGCCCTCTGACCTCCACGTGTGCTCTGTGGCACACATATCTCCCTAAACAAATATCTATAATTTCTAAAAAAAATTAAAAAGTACTCTGACGCTGGAGAACTGGCTCAGGGGTTAAGAGAACTTGCTGCTTTTTCAGAGGACTGGGGTTCATTTCCCAACCCCCACATGGTGTCGTACAACCAGTTCCAACTCCAGTTCCAGATCTGACCCTCTCACCTGACCTCCATAGGCACCAGCACTCATGCACACATACTTGCCAGCAAGGCAATAATAAGTCATTGTAAAACTGTCTTGTTTTGTTTTGTTTTTGTAAGAATAAAAGTAGCCATTTTATTTCCTTTTCAAATAGGTGTGGGTTATGTGGGAATTATTAGACATGAGACACTTCAGTCTTGAATTGTCCTCTGGGGATCACTGCTGTACCTGAAATGTCCTCCCATATCATTTGTTCAACCAAAATCATAGTAATGATTGATCATTGAGGTCTTACCCAAAGAGCACTGTGATTCCAGGTTGTATGAGACCTTACATATATCCATTTCTACATCGCTTCTTCAAGGGAAAAAATGTGATTGTAAAGTTTAGTGTAAAACAATCACTTATTTATTTATAATGAAGAAATAAATCTCCACAAACTCTAGGAGCCTTTAATCCTGGTCTTCTAGGGCCTGCTTACTCAAGTGTGCAGAATTGCTCCTATCAAATGCTTCCTAGAAATATTCTGCTCCCTCTTCTTCAACCTCTACATCAGCAGTTCTCAACCTGGGGGTTGTGACCCCTTTGGCAAACCTCTGTCTCCGAAAATATTTACATTATTATTCATAACAGTAGCAGAAAGTTATAGTTATGAAGCAGCAACAAAAGTAATTTTATGGCTGAGATCATCAAAACAGGAAGAACAGTACTCAAGGGTCCCAGGAAAGTTGAGAACCACATCTTCTCCCTAGATATTCCACTTTGAAGGGAGGTGTCGTGGACCATGTGTTTATTCCATGATCAATCCAAATGAAAAAACCTGGTCTATGAGTCTAGCTTGGCCACTCACTAACCTTGTGACTTTGGGCTTATGGGACCATCTCATTAACCATCTGATTTTCTTAAAAAGTTAAAATATAGATTATTTCCTCTAAAGGCCTAGGCTCTACAAGCTGTTGTTTCATTTTCTTTGCTTTGAAAATGTAAATGCTCTCGGATTTAGAAAGTATTTATTATCGGCTATATTGCCTTTTTCCTAGAGCTTAAAAAACATTGTTATCTTAAGACCAATATTCTTCCTTTGTTTCAGCTCTTAATTCAATCTTGTCTCTAATTCAAATAAAAAAGGATAAAAAAGAAATAACCAACTTTAAAAAACAAGAAACATTTGAGTCTGTTTCTAAGTATGTAAACTAAATATAAAAGTAGAAAATACAGGCTTTGATGGCACAGGTTTAGCTGAACAAATTGTAAGGGAGGAACCAAGAAAAACCGTCTTTAAAAGACTGAAATACAAACTTCACTCTGGGAGTTACATCGCATGACAAAGCAGCAAGGCTATTTACACATGAACCAGTCTCTACTTCCACTAGGTAATCCTTTCATATAGCTGTGTAGTCACTTGTGTTAGTTTTGGTGCTGAACCTTGTCCCCCATCTCTGTGTGTCTTTATTGTAATAGGCAGCTGGGTTATCACACACACCAAATTTGGAGCCAGAGAACTGGATTCCTTTCCTAACTCAGTACTTCCTAGTTCTGTCAACTTCAGGTGAATCGCCTCTTCTATTCCTCAGCTTTCTCATTTGTAAAATGAGTCAACTTAGTGGACTTATGTGGAGAGAAAATGATAACATATACAAAATTTCTTGGACAACTACCATAAATATTAGAACAAAACTAGGGAAACTGGACTGGGGATGGAGCACAGTTATACAACATCTACCTAACATGTACCAGGCCTGTGGTTGATCCCCAACACTGCAGGAAAAGGTCACAGATAGGTACCATGTTAGCTATGGTGGCAAATGTCTCTGATCAGAGCACATAAGAGGCAGGAGGATCATGAGTGTGAGGCTAACCTAGGCCACACAACAAGTTCCACACCAAACTGGGCTCTGTACAACACTGTTTCAAAAAAAGAGTAGTCAATTATAAAAATATTTATTTATGGAGGGTTGTATAGGCATATATGCATGGAGTTTTGCAAGCCTATACATGCACAGAGGCCAGGAAAGGATGTCATATATACCCTGCTCTATAACTCTCAATCCTATTCACTTGAGACACAGTCTCTCACTGAATCTGAACCTGGACTTAGATGGGTGCTCAGTGAGCCCCAGCAATTTTTCTGACTCTTGTCTACCCCTGCTAAGACACTGGGGTTACATGTACGTGTGACACAACCCAGCTTTTCCTGTGGATTCTGGGGTTTTGAACTTGGGTCCTAGTGCTTGCACAGCAAGTGCTCTTACTTTCTGCTTCATCTCTCCAGTGTCCTCACACACAAAGTTTCTATCATGTGGTCTCTTCCATCTGTCTCCCAGGGGAAGGATAGAAGGTACAAATGGCTAGAACCTCTCAATCTGCTCCTCACTGTGAGAAAAGGAGTAAACGAAGAATAAAGGAAGTAAGTTACATGGGAATTTTGGTCTCAAACCTGTGTAATCCCCATTTTCCCTTCTGGATTCTGCTGCAGTTATATTCTCTAACCCTTGCCACTGAACAGGCCGTCAACACACTAGCAGCATGGAGTTTCTTTCTTAGAAAGGCAGAGCTCAAGTCTTACCCTAGGCCTAATGAACCACAATTTGTATTCTAACAAGAATACACTACACTACACTACACACACACACACACACTTTTGTTGTTTTGTTTTGTTTTGTTTGAGACAGGGTTTCTTTGTGAAGCAGTTCTGGCTGTCCTGGAACTCCCTCTGTAGACTAGGCTGGCCTCAAACTCACAGAGATCCACCTGACTCTGCCTTCCAGGGTGCTGAGACTAAAGGTGCCACCACTGCCCAGCTTAGTGTCAACAGTAACAAAATGATTGCCCATTCAAACTGAAGGTGCACTATTCTAGTCACAGAGAGGTAGCCATGCACATTTTCCAAATGGAAGTAGAGCCATGAGGTGATTGTGAATTAATGCAGGTAGGATATTTCAGCAACTGGTAAAACCAAGGTGTTTAAAATCCTGTGGTTCAACTTCAAAAGTTAAAAATACAGTCAAAATCAAGGATTCTTGCTTTTTCTTCAAGTACCATGAGAAGTGAAAAAGTTGTCCATTAAAATAAAACTCTCAGGGCCAGCAAGATAAGCAGGTGAAGCACTTGGTACCAAGTTTAATGACCTGAATTCAATCCCAGGACCCACATGGTGGAAGGAGAGAAGCAACTCCTGCCAACTTTTTTTCTGTCCACCACATGTGCACTTGATTGACTACTCCCTCACTCACCCAACACCCCATCAAAGAATCCCAGTGTAATGGCACACGCCTTTAATCCCAGCACTCAGGAGGCAGAAGCAGGCAGATCTCTGACTTCAAGGCCAGTCTAGCATCCTATATTAAGTTCCAGGGCAACCTGGACTATGTAGAGACCCAGTCTCATTTTTTCACAATCACAATCATATTGGATTATGTTTCCCAGCCTCTCTAAATGTTCCCTCTTACAGCACCTCCCATTTATTTCCCTGAATCCTAAAACTAAAGAACACTAACAGCCTCTCCTTATCAGCAAGCTAATAAGTCTTGCTTTAACATCTTGTCTGCAATAAAATATTTTTAAATGTTAATTTTGTGTGTGGGAATCAAGGCCTCATATATGTAGACAAGTTTTCTACACACTGAACAATATCCTAAACCCCTTTACAATTTTTTATTTTGAGACAGAGTCTGGCTAAGTTACGAAGCCTGGCTTTGAAATTGTGATGTTTCTGCACCACCTGGCTCAGAACAGTATTAAAATCCTTTAAGGAAAGGTGAGTTGTTATCTTGACAAACACAGGAGTTAAGCAATGGTAGAACAACATTCCTAGGAAGGTGTGATGATGCACACCTTTCTATGGGGCCAAGCAGATCTTAGTAAGTTCAAGGCCAGCCTGGTTGACCTAACTAGGCAGGCAGAGCTACAACAGAGACCTTGTCTCAAAACAACAACAACAAAACACTCCTAAAGAATGAACACACTCTGGGGCCGTACTGGAGAATGCCTTTAATCCCAGCACATGGGAGGCAGAGACAGGTGGATCTCTTAGAGTTTGAGGCCAAGCTAGGCTACAGAGTGAGTTCCAGGACAGCTAGGGCTTTTACATAAAGAAACCCTTGTCTTGAAGAACCAAAAAAAAAAAAAAGAAAGAAAGAAAGAAAAGAAAAAGAAAAAAAAGAATGTACATACTAAAAATAACTTAATACTGAGGATAAAATCTGAAAACCTATTACATTACTTTCTGGGAGGGAGATGAAGCATTAGATGATATAGCCACTCACCTAGTTGGTTAGTCATGAGAAAAACTGATTTGCATGTACCGTGTCCATAATAGTTGCATTTATGACATTAAATACAGAGTTGACAATCAATAGAAAGCTTAGTTTTGGTTCGTTTTTGAGAAGCATGTGGCTAGCTCTTAACTTCTGGCTTGGTCTCAACAGATTGCTTAGGTTAAAGTTTGTTAGTGATGGTGGGGTAGCATATCTAAAAGTCTCAAGTTGAACCCACATCCTCAAATCTGGCTTTAGAAAACAAATAAAACAAAACCCAAACCAAATACAAAACAAAAACTGAACACTTCCCTGCTTAACCCCTACCCACCCACATCAGATAGATCTCAGCATCTGACAAGTGCTTATCTAGCAACAAAATCCCTCCTAATGCATCCTGGCTGCTTGTGTGCCTTTTCCAGGGGTTCTCAATTCTTCAAAAATGTTTCCTGAGTTACAAACATATAATGAACACTCCCACAAAAGCTTTTTTTTTTTTTTAAGGACCATTTCTCCCTGGTCAGTCCCACTACGAGACAGGGTATTTAGTAAAGCTATGAACATACCTAGCTTCATGAGTGACAGACCATGTTCAGAGGTCAACATACTTACCTCATTTGTTTATGCAGGGCATATGCTTCGATCAGAGAGTGTACCATACTGGCCTGAAATATCAGCATAAAAGAAGAAAGGCAAAACAGTCTCTTCAAGGTTCAATTTACTGAAAACCCATTAACAACATCCAGCATGAAGAACTAACTGTATCTCTCCTCTCTGTCACTTTAACAGTTGGGATACCTTTAAGACAAAACAGTATCAAAATTGCAAAGACGGAAGCTACCCAACCTTACTTAACACAACTGATGGAATACTCACTCCCAAGGGCTTTTGTGGTTGAGGACTTCAATGAAACCCCTCCTATTAGCAACTCCACTCACCAC